CCCCCGGCCGCCTCGTCCCTGCCCCGGGCTTCCGGCACCGGGACCTGGCTTGGCCAGCGGCAGCGCGGCGCGGCGAGGCGCGGGGCCAGGCTCCACCCACATGTCGCCGATCCGCACCTCGGGCGCCTCCTCCGGGTCGCCGTCCGCCTCAAGCCAGGTGAAGAGGTAGATCCGCCGAAAGCCGCCCCGCAGCGAGGCGTGCAGCGCCCCGCCCTCATCCTCGCTGACCGTCTCGTGCGCTTCTGGCCCAAACGGGAGCGCTTCGAGTCTACTCACTCCTGGCAAAAAGGCATTTTCTTTCCGCATCGCCTCCCCGTTGACAAAGCAGTGCACGCGCATCGCTGCCCAGTCGAACTCCATCTTCTTTCCATCCGTCGCCTTGCACGGCCTCCTCCTGGCTCAGGAAGTCTTGCAATGGGCCGTGCCCCTCCTTGAGCGCCCCTGGCTGCCGGATTCGACAGGATCCGTTGTGCCCTGACGGCAGCTGGTTCTCCGTCTCGTAAACTGTGCGCTCGATGAGCCCGGCCGAGCCGTCGCGAGCAGCCAGCCGCGTGCCCGCCAGCAAGGTGAAGACGTCGGGCGGGCTGGGCGGGTGGTCCGGGCTGCCGGCGTAAAAGACCGCCTGTGGGGAAGAAAGAATTTAAACAAAACAACTCTCTCTCACAGCACACAGGCTCGACACAGGTGCGAACTGGCGCGGGGAAGAAAGAAAGACGCGGGAGGTCCGCAACGCGCCTCTCTGGGGCGCCGCCGCGTGCGCGCAGCAGCCGCCGCGGCAGAGGCGAGCCGCGACGGCCGCACAACCGAAAACTGCACACACACACACACACACACACACACACACACACACACACACACAGGAGCAGCTGTGAAGCCTTCTGCGTCGACGGTTGATCGGGACGATGGCTAGCAAATCAGCCCCCTGCACCGAGACAGCGGGCGCAGCGTTCTGCGCGTTTCACAGGGCCGAGTGCGACACCCTGATGTGCCCCGTGGGTTGCCCGCGGAGGGGTGCCTGCGACTTCTCTTGCAACTTCTGCTCCACCCTGGTGCAGCCGCCGCCGGCGAAACCGCCGCAGCCGATGCCGCCTCCCCCGCCGCCGCCGCCGCCGCTACCGCCGCCGATGCCGCCGATGCCTCCACCATTGCCGCCTCCGCCGCTGCCGACGACACCGCCGCCGTCGCCGCCACCGCCGCCACCTCCACCTCCGCTGCCGCCTTCACCGCCGCCACCACCACCACCACTTCCGCCTTCGCCGCCGCCACCGCTGCCGCTCGCGCCGCCACCGCCAATGCAGCTCACACCGCCACCGTTCGCCTCCCCGATGCTCGCTGCCTCCAACACACCGTGGTGGATGCCGTGGTGGTCGCCACAGAGGTCGACGCCGCCGCCGCCGCCGCCGCCGCCGCCGCCGCCGTCAAAACACCGGGCTGCTGCAGTGCCGGCAAACGGCCTGTGGCCGCTCGCCGGAGAGCGGCGAGGCGCCTGCCGCGTGGAAGGAGGCAACACGGGCAGCTTCGACGAGGTGTGGCAGATCGGCGAGCTAGCGTGCCAGCGGAAGTGCGCCGCGTCCTCCACCTGCGTGGCGATTGGTTTCGTCTATGCAGGCAGCAGCAGCAGCAGCGCCGCGGCTAGTAGTCGGAGCAGTCTTCATAGGAGCAGGAGCAGTAGCGCGGAAGCGCGCGGCGTCCTCCAACTGGGGCGCGGCGTCCTCCAACTGGGCTGGAGTCGCGTTGCTCCCAGTAGCAAGGCTCGTAGTCGCGGGCCGCGGGGAATACAACAAGGTGTACCATCCTCCACCTTAGCAGGAGTAGCTTCACTCCAAGTTTGACCGACCGCCCCTCTGCGCAGGCCGCATGACGCGATGCGAGCTGCACAACGCGCTCATCTACTCCGTCCTGCCGACGGGGCAGGCGTCGTGCCGCATCAAGCCGGGCCTCTCACCCGCAGGCGTCCGAGTCGACCCTCTACGCCGGCGCGGCGCCTCCCTCGGCGCCCCGGCCCCCCCTCTCCCACTGCCCCCGCCGTCGCCGAGACCCCCACCCGAGCTGCCGCCGCCGCCGCCTCGCCCTCCCCTGCCGCCGGCGACACCGCCGCCGCCTGCTCGGCCGCCGCCGCAACATCCGCCGGCACAGCCGCCGCAGCCGCCATACTCCCCTCCGCCGCCGCCGCCGCCTCCTCCGCCGCTGCCTCCTCCGCCGAACGCTCCGCCGCCGCCGCCTGCGCCACCGCCGCTGCCTCTTCCGCCGAACGCTCCGCCGCCGCCGCCTGCGCCGCCGCCGCTGTCTCCTCCGCAGCCGCCGCCGCCGCCGTCGCCGCCCCCGAGCGCGCCGCCGTCGCCGCCGCCGAATGACTGCCTCCGCTACGCCCAAGGCGCCACACACACACACACACACACGCGCGCGCGCGCGCGCACGCACGCACGCACGCACGCACGCACGCACGCACGCACGCACGCACACACACACACACACACACACACACACACACACACACACACACACCGCTCACCCACGGCACTGGGCCTTGCACTTGTAATGCCGCGGGGCGGCTCCTGTCGTCTAGACGTGGAGTCGCGAGGGACTAGCCCGGCCCTCGCCCCACCACCTCGTGTGTGTGGAGAAGTTTACCTTCCCTTCCCTTCCCTTACCCAAGGCGCCGGCTCGAGCTTCGTGCAGTGCACCGGCGACACCTTTTGCGGGCCGCCCTAGAAGCGGGATATCTCCCCATATCTCCCCAGATCTCGTGCCTAGAAGCGGGATACGCATTCCTGTCTCCCAACCAGCGCTCGAGAGGACACGCACTCCGCTGTACCCCGCTGTACCCCGCTGTACCCCGCTGTATCCCGCCGTACCCCGCTGTACCCCGCTGTACCCCGCTGTACCCCGCTGTATGCACTGCATTCGCACCCCTCGTACTCACGCGGTGCTCTGAAGACGCTGCACAAGACCCGTCCTCCCGCCCCGAGGCTGGCGTACTCAGCACGCAGGCTGCCCATATCTCCCCATATCTCCCCATATCTCCCGCCCCGAGGCTGGCGTACTCAGCACGTAGGCTGCCCATATCTCCCCATATCTCCCCATATCTCCCCATATCTCCCGCCCCGAGGCTGGCGTACTCAGCACGTAGACTGCCCATATCTCCCCATATCTCCCCATATCTCCCCATATCTCCCCATATCTCCCGCCCTGAGGTTGGCGTATTCAGCGAGTAGGCTGGCCACCTCCGTGCCGCCGCTCGCGGCACATGCGCCTCGTCGACCTTCGCGGACAGCCACTCCGCTCCGCCGTCTTCGACGGCGTCGATATGACAGGGGCCAGCTTGGACGGCGCCGACTTGCGCGGGTGCACCATGTACGGCGCCAACCTGGCCGGGGCGCACAGCCTATTTCTTTTTTACTGCCCCCGACGTGTTTCTTCTTTACCCCCAGGCACCCACCTGGCCGGCGCGAGCTTGCGCGGCGCGCTGCTGGCAAGCGCCAACCTGCAGGGCGCGAACCTGCAGGGGGCCAACTTTTCGGGCGCCGAGCTCACCGAGACGGACTTCACGGGGGCCGTCCTCACCGACGTCGACTTTAGCCGCGCGCTCATGCGCCGCGCCAAGATCTTCTCCGTGCAGCAGGGCGCGCGGGCGATCTTCGACGGCGCCGACTTGCGCGACGCGCAGATGACGGACAACGAGATGCCCAACAGCTCGTGGGTCGGCACCGACCTGCGTGCGATCGCGATGGAGGACATGGGACTGCAGCGCGCGCGCATCGAGCGGGCGGACCTCGCGGGCGCGCGCTTTGTCGACATGCGAATGCAGGGGGCGCTGCTCCCTAGAAGCAGAATCTCTCCCCACATCTCCCCATATCTCGTGCCTAGAAGCAGAGTACGCATTCATGTCTCCCAACCAGCGCCCGGGTGGGACACGTATTCCGCCGCATTCACCCGTCGTCCGCTGTAGCCCGCTGCATTTCTTTTTCGTCGCACTCACGCGGTGCGCTGAACACACTGCACAATGCCGTATTCGTGCCCTGAGGTTGGTGTACTCAGGAGCCCCACGGCATTCAAAGTGCCTGCCCGTGTCCGGGTGTGGAGACGCGAGGGCCGCCCCCCCCTTGCCCCACCACTTTGTGTGTGTGGAGACGGTTACCTTACCTTACCTTACCTTATTCAGCACGGTAGGCGCTGCTCCTGTCCACCTCCCTCGAAGGCACGCAAGGACTCCCCGCATCTCCCCGCATCTCCCCATATCTCCCCGCATCTCCCCCACATCTCCCCACATCTCCCCATATCTCCCCGCATCTCCCCACATCTCCCCACATCTCCCCATATCTCCCCGCATCTCCCCGCATCTCCCCATATCTCCCCCCCCCCCCCCTCCAAGGCATCAACTTGAATGGCCCCGCCAACCTCTCCTACATCACCGTCTCCAACTCGTCCTTCCGAGACGCCTTCCTGCCCGGAGCCCTGCTCGTGGGAGCGCATGCTCCCGGCATCGACTTCTCGGGTGCCCCCCTCCTGCCCGCGCCGAGTCCCTCCCACCGGCATGCGCGAACCCGCTGCGCCCTCATCTCCCGTCGGCCAGGCGCCTACCTCCAACTCGCCGAGTTCCGTGGCGCCCACCTCGAGGGGGGCTCCTTCCGCAAGGCCCAGATCACGGACGCGAACTTCGACTGGGCCTACCTCGACTCCACCGACTTTACCCTGGCCGTCGGCCGCGCCAAGGCGTCCTGGTTTGGCATCCGAGGGTCCCCGACGGGCCTGCTGGTTGCCTAGAAGAATCTGTGTCTGTGTCTGTATACTGTTTGTGCACACACCACACGCATCGATATGCATGTGCTTGTGCACGGCATGTGTCTCTATATGTAAATAGGTGTGTATGTACGTACGGCTCTCCCCAACAGAGGTATGTACGCATCGATGTATTGACGGCTTGTGTCTTGTCGGCCCCGCATTGGGGGGTGGAGTGCAGTTGGGGGGTAGCCTCAGTTAGAAAGAAAACACGATACAACGCATAAACACGAGCAGGGATGGGACATCCCCCATCCCCTGGGGGCGGGGGGGGGGGGGGGGGAAGCTGTGCACGTGAAAGGCCTGCGAGGTCGGGCGGGTGTGCGCCCCCGACGGCTCAGGAGCCTTCTACCATCAGCCACTACCACGGCTGCCACCGTCGGCGCCTTCGCTCGAGCTCTCCGAGGCCGCGTTCTGACCTCGTGCCGCGGGTGTCGTCGCTGCAGCAGCGACGAGGGCCGCGGCAAGGGGTGCAGCGGCGACGGGCGGGGTGGAGAGGCGCGCCCAGCTACCGGGCCGTTGCCCCCGCCCACACCGCGCCGGGCCCCTGCACCCGGAGGCGGCTTGTGCGGCTGCTTCCCGTGTCTCCGTGCGACCCGAGGGATAGCCGGCCAAAACGCGCACGTCCGTGAGATTTCCGGAGACTTTGAGTGTGTACCGCGGGAAAAAGTGAGAGTGTACCAAAGTTAGTATGTCATTTTGAAGGGTTGGTATGGGCCTTCCACTGGTGGGTAGCGCGGGCGTCGCGCGGTACGCGCCGGGCCGTCAGCGCCTTTCGAAAACAGAGACACTATGCACAACTACTAGGGTTAAGCCGGCACGCCACGTTGGGTGCACCCCTATACGTGATCAAGTACTCTGGCAGGACCTGCGAGTCCTTGTACACGATGAACTCGGTGCTCCACGGCGCCGCCCTCGGCCACCGTGAGCGCGCGCACCGAGTCGAGCGGGCCCCTGGCCCTGCTGCATGCCGTCGGGCGGACTGGCGGCCTCCTGGCGAGGGAGAATGGGGAGCGTGTTGAGAGGAGAGTGGAGATCTGTGACGACAAGCGCACACGCACCGCCTTTGCTCCGAGGAGCGGAGGCGACGTCGGCGCGGAGAAGAAGACGACCTTGATGCTGCCGTCTTCGGCCGGGATGATGCGGGCCTTCACTTCCGTCTTGTTCTCTGACATGTTGTTGATCGAGTTCACTCGTACCTGTGATAGGGGGCGGTGGAGGGCGGGTGTGTGATATTCACGGGCGGGGGAGGGGGGGGTGCTCCAAATCAGGTCAAATGTCGTAATTAAATGCTAATTAACGAAACTTGATGACAATCTCGGGCAATCTCGGGTGGCGCGCATCAGAACGAGCGCGCATCCACAAAGAGGTGCGGAAGTGCCTTACCGGTCTCGGAAGCGATCTCGGGCAATCTCGGGCAATTAATTATGCTAATTGACGAAATCTCGGGGGGATCTCGTCAATTTAGTCAACTCGCATGATGCCCAGCACATTCTCACGAATTTCGTCAAAGTTCCGTCAATTATGTTAATTGACGAAATCTTGATTGACTCTCGGCCAATCTCGGCTAATCTCCTGCTAAGATTGCTGGGGGGAATCGAGAGGAAGGGGGGGTCATGAGGGCCGCACCTACTCGCAGCTCACGCAGCTTGAGGCCCGGCACCAAGGACTCCGCGGCACGCCCGTCTCGCCCACGTTGTTTTGGATCTGCGAGGGCGCAGGAGGCGGCGAGCGAGAGTCATCAGCATAAATGGAAAGAGCATGGCGCGCGCTTGCTTCGGGCGTCGCGGGAGCGCAGTGGGCATGGAGGCGATTCGCGGCTGCGCGCTAGGTGGCCGCTCTGCCCGCAATCCGGCTGCGCCAGATTCATGGCCCTCGAGCCTCGGATCGAGACGCTCGCGCGGCGGTCGCAGCACAGCGTGCAGCCGTGCACGGGCTCGCTGCAGTGGTGGTTGTGGGGCGAGGCGAGAGGGCACGCGCGGGGGCAGCTCTCATCTCGCGCTGCGTCGCGCCGGGCGAGGGGCGAGGCGAGAGGCAACCATGGCAAAAGGTACCTGTCTACTCAAGCGCAATCACTCGCAATCACTGTTCGGTGGACTTCTCTATCAAAAAGAGCGCCTTCGGCACTACTCTCTCGAGGTCTCGCGGGGCGAGGGGCCGCTGGTTGAGCTGGCGGCGAAGACGGGAGTGGAAGAGGTGTTTCTCCGCAACACGGTCCATCGTGCACGATCTCCTTCCCTCCCTCCATCCCCCGCCTGCAAGTGCAACGACGGCATTACTAGTTGTGGCTTGTGCAAACTCTGCCTGAGAGAGAGAGAGAGATTTTTAGAAGCCAACAAGAAATGTGTCACACAGAGTGCAGAGCACATCAGGCGCGACAAGCGCGAGTTCTCCGGCCGCTCCTCCGACGACTCCTCCTCCGACCGCGACTCATGCGGCACCGGCTCCACTAGCGAGGCGAATGACATATTCGACACCCTCGAAGACCGTCTCGGCTACGGTTCCGACTCCGGCTCCGGCTGGTAGTCGACAAGCTGCCGAGCGCAAATCACTCTGTGTGACACATTTCTTAAGGTAAGGTAAGGTAAGGTAAACGTCTCCACACACACAAAGTGGTGGGGCAAGGGGGGGCGACCCTCGCATCTCCACGCCCGGGACACGGGCAGGAGCCCCACGGCATTCAAAGTGCAAGCACCGGCCCGGTGCCGTGGGTGAGCAACCTGCACCCCACTCCTACTCCTATAACACAACCCCCACAGCGTGGTCGTCTACGTGTTCAGAAACACCAGCGAGGCGAGGGTGAAGGGGTAAGGGGCTGTGTGGGGCTATCTGTGACCATCTAGCCTGGGGGGTAGCAGGAGGGGGGGGCAGAGGGTAAGATATGGGTGAGGCCAGCTACAAGTCGGACGCCCTCCCGTCGTCGGAATAATCCTCGGAGCGGTCAGCGTCCTCGTCGTCGTCCCCGGTTTGGAACGGGGCCCCCACCGGGAAACTGAAACCGGGTTTCGCCGGGCCCAGAGGCCCGGGCGCCCTTATTAGGGGCCAGGATTAGGGGGCCGGGGTATCCCCAATGAATTTTCCGGTTTTGGCCCATTTTTTTCGGGACCCATTCGGGGGGGAGGTTGTTCCCCCGGTTCCCCGGGGGAATGGGGGGGTCCCCCTTGGGGGGGCGGGGGGAATCCCCGTGTTTTTTTTTGAACTTTTGGGGGCCCCCCTGGGCCTTCCGGAAATTTTGGGGGGGAAGAGGCGTTTTTAACCCCCCGGGGGGTTTTGGGTGGGGGAAAGTCCCCAGGTTCCCAAAGAAAAGGGGAAATTTAAACCCCCCCCCCCCCCCCCCCCCCGCGCCCGCCCGGGGTGGCATGCATGCCTCGTCGCCGTCTGCACCCGCGTCCGGCCAGCGTCCGGCCGCCTTACACGGCGCCCACCACAGCGCACCCCTCGCAGAGGTCGCGCGTGCTTTCTTTCCCGTGCCATTTCCCCTTCGCAGAGCCCGCCCCCGTCGCAGACCGCCCTTCGCAGGCCGCCCGTCAGAGCTCATCCTTGGCGCCGTCGGAGGCGGCGGCGCTCTCGCCCGCCAGCGCGCGGTGCGTCGCGACCACCGTGTTCGCGTCGAGCGTGTTGCCGTCCGTGTCGATGAGGGACGGCTCCGCGCCCGCCGCGAGCAGCGCCGCCATCACCTGTGCAGCGCACGGTCATGGCTGAACTCTCTCTCTGCCTGCGCCCGCCGCGAGCAGCGCCGCCCTCGCCGAGATGTGCTGCGCGGCCGCCCGGCCGAGCATCTCGTTGGCCAGCTTGCGGTCGTCAGCCTAGCACCATACCTCCAGAGTATCGAACCCAGTGTGGGTTCAGGTCCATGGGTGGTGTGGTGGGAGCTCGGCGAACGCCTGTGCTCGCGCGGGGCGAGAGGTGTGGGGAGATGTGGGGAGATGTGGGGAGAGATGGGGAGAGGAGACGCCGATCGCGCGGGGAGAGGGGTGCGTGTAACGCCTGCGCCAAATCGGCAAGCGCCTCCTCGACGTAGCGCGCGATCTGCTGCAACCCGTCGAACGCGGCGCCCAGCGCCGTCTGCCCCGACAGATCGCGCAAGTTGACCGACGCGCGCGCGCCGAGGAGCTCCGCGACGACCCGCGGCTGCGCCTTAAGGGCTCACTCCCTCACCAGTGAAGACGTCGATGCGCAGCAGGCGCCGACACGACCCGCGGCTGCGCCTGCCGCGCCGCCGTGTGCAGCGCCGCGGTGCCTAGGTAAAAAAGAAAGACGCGGTGCGGTAGGCACAACAGAAGTGCCTCGCCGCCGTGTGCAGGGCCGCGGTTCCGTTCTCGGTCGTCGCGTCGACCACCGCCGCCATTAGCTCGGGCGGCCCGTCCGCCACAGCCTCGAGGAGCAGCTTGACTGCGGGCAGGTTGCCCGACATCGCCAGCAGCATCAGCGGAGTCACACCCGCCTCGGACGCGCACGCCGCGCTCGCGCCCTTTTGCAGCAGCAGCCGCACCAACTTGGTCGACCCAGACTGCGCCGCAAGGAGCAGCGGGGCCACCGCCGAGGCGCCGGCAGCGTCTGCCGCGGGCGTGGGCGCCGCGCCCGCCTGGGGCATCTCGGAGGTGTCTCGGAGGTGCCTCGGAGGTGTCTCGGAGGTGCCTCGGAGGTGTCTCGGAGGTGTCTCGGAGGTGTCTCGGAGGTGTCTCGGAGGTGCCTCGGAGGTGCCTCGGAGGTGTCTCGAGGTGCCTCGGAGGTGCCTCGGAGGTGCCTCGGAGGTGTGCGATGGAAGTGTCCAGGAGGTATGCGCCGGGAGGGAAAGGGAGCCCTCTCGGCGAACCTCGGCATCTCGGGCCCCCTCGGGCCCCCTCGGCCCCCCTCGGGCCCCCTCGCCCCCCCTCGGCCCCCCTCGGGCCATCTCGGGTCATCTCGGGTCATCCCGGGTCATCTCGGCGAATCTCGGCGAATCTCGCCTCGAGGAGCAGCTCGGCGATCGCCTCTGCGCCGGTGGCGATCGCGACGACGAGGAGCGGGTCACCGTTGGCGAGGGGCGGGTCGGGGGACGCGCCGGCCTGCGAGATGTGGGGAGGTGTTGGGAGATGTGGGGAGATGTGGCGAGATGTGGGGGGGAAGTGGGGAGAGGTGGGGAGATGCGGGTCTGCCTTCCGCATCTGGGGCCTCGAGATGCGGGGGGATGCGGGGGTTCGCATCTAGCCCCCCAGAGCCTCGAGATGTGGGGAGATGTGGGGAGATGGGGGGAGATGTGGGGAGATGGGGGGAGAGGGGGGGAGAGGCGCTCGCATCTAGCCCCCCTCGTGCCTCGAGCAGCATCGCGACGCACTTGGAGCAGCCCGCAGCCACGGCGTGGCAGAGCGCCGACTGCCCGTCGGCGTCGACCGGGGCGGCGTCCGCCCCGGCGGCGAGCAGCTGCGCGACGATCGTGTCGTGTCCAAGGGCGGAGGCGTGCATCAGCGCGGTGGAGCCGGCGCGGAAGTACGCCTCGAGCCGCTGCCGCCGCGCCTCCACCTCCGCCTCGCTCATCGCGCCCTCCTCCTTGGCCACCAGCTCCGCCACCTCGGCTTCAAACGACTCGGACGGCGCCGCGGCCGTGTTCGGGTCCGCACCTGGTCAGAAGAGAACCGCCTCGCCCAAAGGAGTACAGGGAGGTGTGTATCCGGGAGAAATGGCGGGGAAGGCGGCGGCGGTGAAGGGGGTGGTGGGGAGGGAGGCGAGGGTGGTGGCAACAATGGACGCGACGTTGGCGGGGGTGAGGGGGGAGGCGGTGTCGAGGGTGGTGGAGGCGATGGTGGCGGGGGCAACGGTGGAGGCGAGGGTGGTGGCGGAGTTGGAGGTGGAGAGGGGGGAGGAGGAGAGGGTGGGGAAGAGGGTGAGGTGTGTGCGCGCCGCCACGGGGAGAGAGAGAGGAGGAGGCAGATGCCCCAAGGGGTGACGGCGGCTAGCACCACACTCCTCTCCTAAAAGATCCCCCCGCGTGGCGGCGGCGAGCCGTCCCTCGCCACCCCTCCCTTTGGCGCGTCCGTTTTCTCTCTCTTCGGAGCCGCGCGCCGGCCTCCCACCCCTCCCTTTGGCGCGTCCGTGTTCTCTCTCTTCGGAGCCGCGCGCCGGCCTCCCACCCCTCCCTTTGGCGCGTCCGTTTTCTTTTCTCTCTTCGGAGCCGCGCGCCGGCGGCGAGCAGCGCCTCCACGGCCTCCGCCTCTCCCAGCCTCGACACGATGTTGAGAGGTGTGCCGCCTGAGCCCGCCATCACGTTGGGCGCCTGTGGAGTCACTCGTTCTTGACTCATTAATGAGCTGGTTTGTCACTCAGAGCCCGCCATCACGTTGGGCGCCTGTGGAGTCACTCGTTCTTGACTCATTAATGAGCTGGTTTGTCACTCAGAGCCCGCCATCACGTTGGGCGCCTGTGGAGTCACTCGGTCTTGACTCATTAATGAGCTGGTTTGTCACTCAGAGCCCGCCATCACGTTGGGCGCCTGTGGAGTCACTCGTTCTTGACTCATTAATGAGCTGGTTTGTCACTCAGAGCCCGCCATCACGTCAGGGCGCCAGCCCGAGTCCGAGCAAGTAGGCGCACGTCGCCGCGGACCCGCCCGTAGCGGCGGCGATCAGCGCGTCGAAGCCGTCGTTGTCGATCGCGGTGAGGTCGGCGCCTGTTCACAGCCGGCAGCTGTGAAGAGGCGCGGTCCGCTCTCCCCCGCCCTGGGGGGGCTGGGTGGGTGTGGGAGAGGGGGGCAGGGTGGTGGTGATGG